CAACTAAAAACCTTAATTAATTGTAAGGTATGTAGAACATTGCACTTTTCTTAAAAATTCTTCTTTATGATGAGTTTCTACTGCCTGCAATAATTGTACTGCCCATATTTTGAAATCTTTCGCATCTGTAAAATTTATACGAGAACTACAGTTCAGTCCGGAAGACAACACTTCCAATTCTTTAAACAAAAAAATGTTTTTTTATTTTATTATCTACTGAGCAAAAAGGTATGGCAAACGATCTTGTTTCAGAACCAAAACCCGCTGTATATAATTTAAATGACTCCTCAACGTATACACAAACAAAGGTCTTAAGCCTAATTCCAAATAAAGAAAATAACTTGGTGTATAATAGAGAGCTCCAAAAAACTTCTTAATAAAAAAACAAAGAAGTTTTTCTACCACTTCATACCGATGGTAGCCCCATACTTGCGACGCATAACACATCACAGCCCTAGAGACGGAATTAAAAACTTTAAATTTACTTTTTAGAGGAACATCTCCTCTATTGAAAATACCGTTCCAGGTTATATTCAATCCTTGTTTAGCAACCCTATGTTTATTGGCCAAATGCATATTGAAGGAAAGTAGAGGAGTCAACGTTACAACTAAATATTTGTATTCTTTTACTACCTCTATTCTTTCATTTTCTAAAAACCATCGTTCATTCTTTGATGGTCTACCGCCATTTCTAAACACCATAAGCTTAGTTTTATTCAAATTTACTGACAAATTCCACATTCGGCAGTATTCTCCCAACCTGTTTAACATATTTTGAAGATGAACCGTTTCAGTACTCATCAACACCACATCATCTGCATACATTAAACAGTTTACATTTGATGCTCCGACAAACAGACCGCCACCCAAAAACTCGGATAAATCGTTAATAAACAGCGAGAACAGAAAAGGGGAAAGAAGACAGCCCTGCCTTACACTTACTCTAGATTCAAAGGTACTTGTGACCTCTAGCTTTCTTTTATCTACGATTTCACTTTTTTCAGGTGTATTTACTGAAATAATAATGAACATTACAGCACTTAGCAATGTATGGTTGATATTTTATGTTTGTATTTTCTTTTTTTCTCGTTTAGATGTCAAGTCCTTCAAAGTTTTAGGCTGTTTAGAAGGCAGTTTAATTCATAAAACTCGAATGTGTTAACGGCATCTGTTGTGCATCGCCAGACTTGTAATTTATGCTGATATTAACAAAATCTTCCGGGGGCCAACTTTTCCCCGAGCCACTCGCCAGCCCCGTCGGATTCCCATCCCTCAATACATGCAAAGTACCGCGTAGTGAACTCTCCAAAGTTTCCTACTGGAAATGGAAAGTCGCACCAGCAGCCGGCCCGTGGCGTTTTAATATCGCCCCACCGCTCTACATAAATTGCATAAATTTGCATGGAAATCCGTCAGAGGTGATGTCGGATCGCTTTACACCGGTGCCGGGTGCAAATGAAGGCTTCGGTTATAGGAAGTGAATAAGGAAGCACCCGGTGAGGGGTGATTTGTACGTGATTGCGTTAGGTTTGCATGTCAAAGAGTGGCTGTCCCGGCCAGGCATCCTCGAGGACTCTTCCTCCATACGTATGCAAATATCTAATAACGCTCACTGGGAAAACCCGCCTTAGAAAGCACCACCGTTCCTAATCCGGAGCCCTTTGACAGCTTTTAATTCCATTACACCATTACCAACCCCTTGGAGAGTAGCAAGGGGACTGTGCTAAAAAAATTACATAAAGGCAAACCGAATTTTCAACTAGACACAAAATTAAACAAAATGTGCAAAATATACGTTGAAACTTTGTTTAGTTTGATCGAACGTATTTCGGACAATACATCTAATATTTGAATCCCGAGGGTGTACTGACCAAAATGTTCAGAAATGACTAAACTGTAAATAATGACAACCGTACATTCCACTTCCTGGCTACCACCTAATCCGTTCAAAGAAAAAGGAAAAATATGAAAACTAAAGATTAAATCTTTAGAAATGTTTGGTGATTTGTGACCGTTAATCGATAACTATTCAGAAATCGTGAGATGCGGTCTGGTGTGACGTAGGTTTCAGAAAAACATATCGTGCCAACGTTTCGATCTTTACTGAGACCATCTTTAAGGCCTGGGATTTACAAACATTGTTTACATTTAACAAATACATTTAAGATGTGGAAAAGTGAATTTATACACTGCAAAATATATTTTTTATATTCAGTCAAAGTATTTCTAGTCACTCAAAGTGTTTGTCTTCTGTGTAATTGTGCCATTCTTGCGTGTCGTGTTGAGAGTGCCAGTGAGATTTTGCTGTTTTATGTTTATATACGTTGGATTTTGAAGGGGTAGGGAAGGAAGTCGGTATAGAACAGACATTTTTGTATAAGGCGTCGGATTCTTTGAGGTAAAAAGAGCTAACGAAGGGGAAAAATGTGTTGTTAAAGCCGGGAACACACTTACCCGATGCTAAGCCTTGCGACGCTACCCGATGCTACCCGACGCAAATCCAAACTCCCATTTTCCATAACGTTGCTTTACCCCCGTGCACATCTACCCGATGCTATGCCACGCTAACCAACCCGACGCTCTGCGATCCCCACTGACCAGATTTTCGGTCGCATGGAGTACAGTCGAATACAAAAGAACCGGACACTCATATTTTTATTCAAACTACATGTATTATTGTCGTTATATTAATTACAACATACTTATNTGTTTTGATTAATTTTCTACCAAACCATTAAAATTAATTTTTTAAATATAAACTAATTAATTTTTAATCACAGTTAACTTGGTTTATATTAAAATAAGTATGTTGTAATTAATATAACGACAATAATACATATAGTTTGAATAAAAATATGAGTGTACGGTTTTTTGTCTTCGACTGTACTAGATGCGATCCGGCGAAAATCTGGACAGTGGGGATCGCAGAGCGTCGGGTAGGTAAGCGGGGCATAGCATCGGGTAGATGTGCACGGGGGTAAAGCAACCTTATGGAAAATCGGAGTTTAGATTTGAGTCGGGTAGCGTCGCAGGCGTAGCATCGGGTAAGTGTGTTCCCGGCTTTAACAACACATTTTTTCCCTTCGTCAGCTCTTTTCACCTCAAAGAATCCGACGCCTTATACAAAATGTCTTTTCTATACCGACTTCCTTTTCCACCTCTTCAAAATCCAACGTATATAAACATAAAACAGCAAAATCTCACTGGCACTCTCAACACGACACGCAAGAATGGCACAATTACACAGAAGACAAACACTTTGAGTGACTAGAAATACTTTGATTGAATATAAAAAATATATTTTGCATTGTATAAATTCACTTTTCCACATCCTACATGTTTTTGTTAAATTTAAATAATGTTTGTAAATCCTAGGCCCTGAAGATGATCTCCATAAAGCTCGAAACGCTGGCACGATAAAGAAAATGTTTTTCTGAAACCTACACCACACCAGACAGCATCTCACAATTTCTGAATAATTAAATCTTTATTTCGTTCAAATCCAAGGAGTGGAACCGTCAGGGATTTGAACGGATGATGTCCATGATAACCGTAAAAGTTCTATATTGTTAAATCCATTATATTTAGTAGTCTATTGACCAAAATACTTCTTTTAATTAATTAATCTTGTTACGTATGGTTTTGGTTGTACTGAAAAAGTTAGTGTCATGAACTGGATTCGAACCCACGACTTCGGCTCAATACGCCGCTGCTCTAATAACTTGCGCTATCGTGACTATATTATTCATGATTAAAAATTATTGGCACCAAAAAGATCACACAGGCCAGTTTTTGTTTCCTCAGATGATTACTTTTTTCGTGCAATAGCTTAATTCGATAATGTAAAACATGCCACAGCAAGATGTAAGGATGATGGTATACATCAGACCTTTCTCATTAAAACTACTACACCAGGATCGACCACTTTTGTTTCAATAAACCATGCTCCATTGAGAAAGTTGGTTCATGAATCCAGGATAGAAAATAATTCTTTTCCTAAAATGTGCACCTTACCTTCCTTCTGTAAACTACCATTCTCAGAGTTCTTTTAGACGGCTGCCACTTTCGAGTAGTAATAATTTCTAAATGTGAAACTTGGCACAAAATTCATTAAGGATGGTGGTTCGTGTATCTAAGAAAATTATTGGTACCACCATAATTTTATTCTTCAAACTGTCCCACTTGGAGCAATGACCTTAGTCCTTAAAGTAAAATATGCTCCGTCCAGGATAAAAAATAGTTGGTGGCACCTCAATCCTATACGATCAATGGCCATGGACAGTTATAGTTAAAATGAATAACAGGTAAAACAACGGAAAAAAGGTAAAACAAAAAGGAGTACTGTTTTTGTTTAAGGAGTTGTTCAAATAGAGACTTGACGGCAATTGAGCATCTAATATGATTTTTTTCATGATTCCAAAGCAGGAATACCTTTAAAAACAATTATTTGTAAATGTAAAATGAACCTATTTATAACTTTTGACATGGTAATTTTTTTTTGTATCCATAATTTTTGTACTTTCAACCTCGGCATATTAAAATTAGTTTAAACTATTAATTCACTACTTTCGTGGTCCGCTTGACCAATTGATACATGACAATTAATTAAGGTTTTTAGTTGAGATGAAAAAAAAGTTAATGGCACGAGTGGGATTCGAACCCACGACCGTTGATGTCCGAGTGGATCGATGTCACGATAACTCAGGAGGTAGAGCAGCGGCGTATCTAGCCGAAGGCAGTGGGTTCGAATCCCGCTCGTGCCATTAACTTTTTTTCATCTCAACTAAAAACCTTAATTAATTATCATTAGTTTTAACATTAAAAAGTTGTAGCATATAACCTCTTTCCCGTATAATGAAATTGCAAGAATAAATATATTTTAAAATAAAGTAGTAATTTTTCGCTTCTATTTGGAAACATCTGTTCACGAATTGAAAAAAAGTGTTTCAGATCGAAAAATCAGTTTTACTCGTAAGATACAATCAATTCCGTTGGTTCACATGGTAGACAACGACCTAGAGGCGGAAATATCGACCTTCATTCAGGAGGGAGGGCAATACGTCCGCAGGCATAGTAGGTCAGAGACGAAAAAGATGTTTTTCGGAAAAATCTACATTGCAGTCATAACGCAGTATGGCTGCTTCATATTGGTTTGTGTGGCTACGTTGTACGTAGACTGGGTACAGCAATTTTTCACTGACCATGGATGGATTTCTTTTGTTTTCATGGCGCTGTTCTTCGCAATGCTCGTGTTGTTGTCGGTCTGGAGCTCCCTGAGGCGAAGATACCCTCTCAATTTGGGCTTGCTGACCGTGCTGACCGTGCTGAACAGCCTATGGCTGGCCTCGATAGTCGCAGAGTACAATTTGAAGATAATCCTTTATTCGTTATCGGCCAACGCGGGCATCGCGACGATTATATCTATTTTTGCCGTGCTCTCGCCCTACGATGTCAACGCCAGGCCGATGATCCTGCTATTGATCCTGGCGATCATCATCGTCCTCTCGTCGACCTTCGGTGTGATCAAAGTCTTCGTCAAAGAGCTCCAGTATTTCGCTCTGGCCATGGTCGCCTCGATCGCAGCCTCGGTTTATTATTTCCTCGTCACAACATTGGTGGTCAAATCAGGAGACGTTGACGACACGGAGTGGGTCCTTGCAGTTCTGATTATCTACACGGCTGTGCCCCACATGATAGTCTACATGATACACACGATAGGAGGCATCTCTCCGTCTTAGTCGCCACGCGAAATCCAACGCTGCACCGTCCAGTTTATAGGCCAACACCTCATACTGAGATCAGCGCTCCCTAGAAAATGATTATCTTGATTATTGTCAAAAGAAAGAGAAAGACAAAATCGAAAAACAGCTGAGTGCAAATTGCCATATGGATAATTGTAACAACACAAGAATCCACGCCAGAGCCTCAGCTTAAGGAAACAGCATCGAAACCGACCTTCGGGGCATAGGGCATATACAACCCAGCTTGCTTTCAATAAGTGAGAAAAGTTGATTATATATGATTAAAAAATGAACCGAGAAAAAAGCAGTATACTTGTTGTTTTGTATAGAAGAATTAAACAGCATAAATCTGATACACGAAATTAAATACATACATTGCTTTTACTTATTTATTTGATTTTAGTTATTTAGTTAGTAGTTTATGAGGTAATTGATATCATATATACTGCGTGTCCCAGCTAAAGGTGACCCGTAAATTTATCATTTTTACTAATATCAAAAAGTTGAAGCAGTAACCCCCCTCGTTAAACTTTTAGTAGTATTCAAAAATCATACTTTTACGCATTGCGCATATGCGCAATTGACAACTTTCTTATTTTAAATAGAACCCCCTATTTTTTATTACAAATTTGATTGAGTTTTGTTAAACCTGTTCAACCCTTCGTTGAAACTATGTAACACTGTTGTATTTAAATTTGAATTGAAATTATATTTGGTTTCTTTTCGATGGTCCTTAAATTCCGAAAATTTGTTCGATTTAGGCAAGTGTTCTTTTACTCTCGTTTTTTATTTCTCTACTGCTTTGCCCTACATTTTTAACATCACAATCATTACAATTGAGTTAGTAAACCCCGCTTTTTGCCAAATTGTCTACCTTGTCTTTAGGTTTTGAGAGGATGTTTTTAAGTGAACCCGTACATTTAAAAGCAATTGTAAAATCTTCTTGTTTACAAATTTTACCAATATATGGCAAACAACGGAAACCTAATGATTTATTTATGGTGGGGTTGCTGCGTCCTATTGTCGATTCGTTTAAAGTTAATTTTTTTATTCTTTTAACTAGCAACCTATCAATGAATATTTCAAGAGAACCGTTTGATTTTTACTAAGGTTTTAATAGTTTCTAACTGTCTTTTGTAGTTAGCAGGTGTTAATGGAAGTTTTAACATACAGTCTATGAGCCAAATGAAATTTTGGGACCATGAGTGGGAAGAATCCGCTGGTATCATAGTGTCTGTAGTTGTGGGTTTTCTATATACGTCTATTTCTATTAGGTTGTTTATTATGGAAAATTTTAGGTCTAAAAAGTTCAAACAACCATCTTTGTTAATTTCCAATGAAAAATTTATATTACGGTGTAGAGGATAAATTAGTTGGAGGAATTCTTTCATATCCTCTAATGTTCCCCACCATATGCATAAAATATCGTCTATACAGCGTTTCCAACAATGAACAGATTTAATTAATTTGTTCTTTGATAAGAAAAGATTTTTTTCCGAAGCTGTTGGGTATATTGGTGTTATTATCACTATATCATTATTAATTATATATTTTATCAAGAAAATTTTTATCAACAATTTCTATTAAATTATAATTGTTGTATTTAAGCCTTAATTAGAATCCATAATATAACAAGCATTAGACACCTTGTCAAAAAAAGAAAATTATAATTACGATAAATTGTTATAGTTAACTGTTATAGATGAATAAAATTAAATGTTAACATTACGTTTCTTGACATCAGTAAGAGAGGATCCTATTTAACCTGTGTTAATAAACTATTCATTCTCTCTTTCTCTCTCACTCACTCTCTCTCTCTCTCTCTCTCTCTCTCTCTCTCTCTCTCTCTCTCTTTCTGCACACCTTTTCGCTGACTTTCTAATTGTCTTATTATATCTCATCTACCTTTTTTTCACTTATTCATAGACAGACTCCTCTCACCCCTTCCTTTTTTTTCTTTCTTAACTTCTCTCTTTCCTTCCATCACTCTCTCTCTCTCTTTCTCTCTCTATCTCTCTCTCTCTCACTCTCTCTCACTCTCTCTCTCTCACTCTCTATGTTTACATCCCTACCACTCTCTCGTTCTTTCTCACTCCCGCCGTCTCTGTTCTGTCTTTTTTTCTCTCAATCTCACTCTCTCTCTCTCTCACTCTCTCTCTCTCTCTCACTCTCTCTCTCTCTCTCACTCTCTCTCTCTCTCTCTCTCGTTTTTGCGTTAATTTTAACAGATACCAAACGTTGCGTGATTTGCGTGCGTGATGACTCATTCCTACACCTTCGTTTTCTCTTTTTCTCAACTTCTCTCTTTCCCTCCATCCCCCCTCTCTCTCTCTCTGCATACCGTTTCCTTCTCTTTCTCATTGTCTTAATATATCTCCTCTTCCTTTTTTTTTCACTTATTCATAGACAGACTCGCTCTTACACCTTCGTTTTTTCTCCTTCTCAACTTCTCTCTATCCCTTCATTCCTCTCTCTCTCTCTCTCGTTTTTGCGTTAATTTTAACAGATACCAAACGTTGCGTGATTTTTTCATTATAACACTATTCGTTCACCATCTCTCTCTATCTTTCACTCTTTTTCATTCTTTGTTTCTCTCCTCTCATTCTCCGCTTTCTTTTAGATTTGTTGCTTCTTTATCAAAACGTCGCCGAATATTTTTATTTACGAGAACAAATATCAGTTTTGAAAATGGATTTATTTTCCCAAGAGTATATTAAAAAAAAAAAACATTCAGAGGCATTACACCGGGATTTATCGGAGTGAAAAGGTCGATATTAGATTCTATAATAAGGAGGTAAAGAGACTAAATAAAGATTCAGAGCGACGTGTATTTATAAGGTTTAGGACGCGAGCCAAATGCGTTGTCACTCATCCGAGGACCACACAGCAATTAATGCTTCCTCTCCCAATCGCGGGGTACTTAGTTCCAATTCCATCCCTGATAAATCGGCCCCACAGTCAATCAAGCCAAACGGGCAGTTAAATAATAAATATTTGTCTTTTTTACCGGCTCCTCGGACGTGATTTATTCCCCGGTGTATTTCTGGCGATGAGGCCATATATATCCGGCCGCTTCTAACCGCCGGCACGGTTGTCACTTGAGGAATGAGATATCTGAGTTTAATAGCAGGAGAAAGACGGTTAGGGGATTAATGTTGTCATTTGTGCCGATGTAACAGGACCATTACTTAAATTGGGCCGATGATTCATGGATAAAATGGCATTATAACTAAAACGGAAAAGACTTCTAATTGCATATACTTATGTTAAGAAGATACCTTGGATCCCGTCGACAATGATAGATGAACAGACAAATTTGAGGAATGTAAGATGTAATCCGTGTTAAAAATGTGCTCGCTAAAAATAAACTTTTCCCCATTGATTATTTCTCTGATTAACCGATCAATTACGCTGGATAGTCGTTTATGAAATTATAAATATTAATAATTATTAAGAAATTAAATCCCTGATCAAATATGATAATTGAACTATTGTCAGGTCTTGTTATTTGTTTATTTTTCACCCTTTGCGCATAAAGCAGCTTTTCACAAAAATCAATTCATCCTCTTATTTACAGGGGCTTCTCCTAAGTGAAATAAATTATAGTAATAGACTGTCAGCAAGCCGGCCTGAGCCTGATATATGTTGGTCTTAAGTCTACCAAGTCGGTCCTCCCCGTCTAAGCAGTCGCATGCTTCGCTAACGAAATTTTATCTCTTCGTTTATCGCTTTATCCAAAATGCTGTTGCGTCAGCCTGTTTTAATAAACACTGATATTATGCTATTATTATAGTGTGTAATTTCTAACGATGGCTTCCATGGACTTTTTCATCATCCAACATAAATGGTTAATTATTGTTTCTATTTGAGGTCTTGGTTGAGATAAAAAAGTCAGTGCCACGAGCGGGATTCGAACCCACGACCTTCGGCTAAATACACCGCTACTCGACCACTTGAGCTATCGTGACTTCGATCCTCTCGGACACCAAAACTCTCCATCTCAACCTGAAACCGTTCGAATTTTCCTCTTTTTGCCATTATTTATCTCAACCAAGACCTCAGATAGAAAGAATAATTAATTGAAAGAAGTACCTTGGTCAATTGACCACTAAAACGTGACTGGATTAATATTTAATAAGTAAAAGAAGTATCACCTCACTAAAACAGCTCCTCATGGCCACTTCATAAGTCGCTGAGAATCCAATCCTGATTGCACGACAGTTGAAAATGGCAAAAAGAGGAAAATTCGAAAGGTTGGGTTGAGATGGGAAGTTGGTGCCCGAATGGATCGAAGCCACTATAGCTCAAGTGGTAGAGTAGCGGCGTATTTAGCCGAAGGTCATGGGTTCGAATCCCGCTTGTGACACTGACTTTTTTATCTCAACCAAGACCTCACATAGAAAGAAAAATTAATTGAAAGAAGTAACTTGTTCAATTGACCACTAAAACGTAATTGGAGAAATGGTTGAGGCAACAAAAATCCCTGTTTGGATTTAAAATCCGCAAAATCCTAACACCTGCCATTTCCTTGATCAATATACTTTTGCATGAAAATAAGTGTTTTTAAATTGGCATGATGAAATCTTCAAATCGGCTTAAATAAACCGCAGGGATTAATTTCTCCCCGGGGAGTTTGTGACTAAGATCTAAGGGCGGTAGTGAAGGGCTCGAAGGGCAATTCTATTTATCGACTTGTTTGTCCGCCTTCCCATTGACGGGGTCACTTAGTCAGATCAGCCCTGCGGCCCCGGCCCTTTAAGGGTTCGTGATGACACACGTCCCACCTCGCCGGTCAATGGGTCAGGGATTTTTCCGCGGCGTCCTACGAACTGTGCCAGGCTGTTCTTATTTTTTCCCAGCATTGACGGGAGTTTATGTTTATGGTTTTTTGTCAAATGGGTCTCATTGAAAACCTATTAAAAGAAATATATTTCAAAAACAACTATTGGTATTGTTATATTGTGTGTTCCCATTTTTTCTTATTTTTCTTTCTTTCC